GGTTTAGGGTTTAGGGCGTAGGATAGGGGTATTTGAAACAACATGGAAAAGAAATGGCAACTGGGGTTAAAAGGTGGTTCATGGATAGGTAGTTGTGGTTCAGTTAAAACCGAGGCTTCGAGGTTTAGGTTTTGGGGTTCCAAAAAGATGGCTTATGTAGGAAGCCGCCAATTAATTTTGCAAAGTGTCCAATGTACAAGTGTATTTTGGCGCGTTGAAGGATTTTGGCTGTAGATTCTGCGTCTTTTTCCAGAGAGTAATCCAAGTTTCAAGCCCTACACCCAAACCCCTGAACCTTAGACCATAACAAAAGGCTCTAAGCCCTATACCCCGAGGCCCTATGTCTTCATTCCTATATATACCAACCTCCTCTGGCCTAAGCCCTGCGCTCGAAACCCAAAGCCGCGGCTGATAGTTCCGACACAGTGAGCCAAAAAGGCTCTTTACGCCAGGATCAATGCGTAAAAGGAGGCACCTTTTTTAAAGCCCTAAACCTTAAACTTCAAACCTAAAAACCCTAAACTCCAATCCCATGCCTTAAGTTCTACACTCCAAGCTGCTAAGGTGCCTCCAGCGAGGCCTACGCCACCGGCGCCCTCCACGCACGCGGAGACACAGGAGTCCAGGGAAGCAAGGGCCAGAGAGGCGGTTTAGGGTTTGGGGTTTTGGAGCTTGGGGATTGAAGGTAGCAGTAAGAGTATTCAAAGTAAACATGGTAGTAGTGGGAGTAATGGATATACGTAGTAGGAGTAGCAGTAAGAACAGTATAGAGTCAGGGGTTTGAGGGTTAAGGGGTTTTGGAGTTTGGAGCTCAGAGTTCAGGTTTGAGGTTTAGGATGCAGGCCAGGTCTTGGATGTGGGGGTGTTAGGGTGAGGACTTGGGGTTTGTGTCATTGGATTATGAATAATGTTCAAAGGTGTGAGAATTGTGACACAGGGACATGATGGTGATGATTCTGAGAGGTCACTGCTTTCCCCAATTGGGAATACTGCGCTCAGAGCTTCTTTGTACAAAGCCCTAAACTCCAATTCCAAACCCTAAGTTCTGAACACTTGGACCCTGGCTTTGAGCGTTCGCAGAGCCTGTTTCTTTCGAGCTCGGAATGCTTCCAGTTGATCCCTGGGATGGTTTCTATATGTTCTTATCATCTCCCCTAGAAGCCCTAATAATTGTCAATATCGGTCTTGGTTGTCTAAACCCGAAACCCCACACAGTAACCTCAAACAACATCACAATAGTTTCCATTTTGGTTTCCATTTCCTTCATTCCCAGTAAGTTCTGTTACAGGCCGCTGGCATCAGCTGGGATGACAATGTTGCCAGCCCAGTAGAGGACTAGAGGGTCTTGTGTTCAGGGTTCAGGGGTGTGGGTGCAGGATTCGGGGTTTGGGGTTCACTCTTTGGAGCTTAGATTGGCATTTTGGTTCCTTGTGCAAGCTGAACGGGCCCTAATCTATCATATAACTCCTGCAATGACAGCTTGTCCGGGTTGCCGTGGAAAAGCTTCGATTAAGGACGTATGTTCTGCATATACAAAGTAAGCAAGGCGTTACGGTAAGTGTAAGTTACTATAAGATACCACAAGCTTCAAAAAGCCATCCCTACCCATCTCTACCCTACGAAAAAATCGACCTGCGCCGCTTAGGGGTTGGGGTTGACGGTTGTAACACGGGCTCAGGACCCTAAATAACCCTAAACCCTAAACCCTAAACCCCAAACCCTAAACCCTAAACCCTAAACCCTGAACTCTAAGACCTACCTCCCTTTGGGGGAAATTACCTTACCTTTGGTTAGCTAGGAATGAAGGAAGGGATCCTTGTAGTAGTCCCTATATAACCCATCACAGGAGTTTTCATTACCCTAAACCCTAAAACTCTAAACCGGGAAGTAGCATGACGCAGGAGTGGGTTGCTTGCTAAGGTTTTGCAAAGGCTTATGCGCAAGAGATTTGTGTATTTTTCAAGATGAGCTCCCTGAATAGACCCCAGCACCGACCCCTCAACTCAAATCCCACATCCTAATTCCATTTTGGCTCAGATCCTGCAATCTGAGCCTTAATCCTAAATTCCCTTTCTCTCAATCCTAAACCCCATACTCCTCATACCTAAATCCTGAACCCGAAACTCCAGAACCCGGAGCCTTGAACCTTCCGAGGCCTCCCAGCCCTTTTGGTTGGGTTTTATGGTGCTGGGTTGGAGTGTAGTACGTAGGGTACCATAAGCAGGAAACGTGAGTTGGAACATCCCCCGACCTCATCACGCAACCACGTGTCCATGCCCAAACCACAACGTAGACACTACCTGAATCCAGAAAGCTTCTGTCTCCGGTTGAGTACCTAATGCACTGTTTCAGGTTTTGGGACCCACGAAGCCCTCAACCCCATAACCCCTCACTCTCGAGCCTGATCCCATCCCCGGAAAAAGGGGTCTATAACCCTAAACCCTTCTACCACTGCAAGGCTGATCCTTACTGCGCCGCCCGTGGCTACCAGCACCAAGCAAGCTAAGGATATGGGCCGTAGCATTCATGTCTTGACGAAGGGCCCAGCAGCTTGGAAGCCGTGATTACTTGCTTAGACCCAGGGGGCTTTCATGACACAACCTTTCCCCGAGAGAGCCCTGTAGCCAAGACCTCCTATACAGCAAGCTTATCCGTACCTTGTTGGCACAGACGTAGGGGACGAGTCGCCCAGCCGAGCGCAATGGCAGTAGACGCGCATTCGCTTGCTGATTCGCTCCTCCTTCTGCCGGATTTCTCTCCGCCGCTCGACATGTGGGTGGATTCCATGAAATGCACCATGGGTAGTTACAAAAACTAAGGTTCCCGCCTGTACTCTAATGTTGGTATTAAGCGGTTTCTACGTGAGTTGATGCTTTGGCTTCATTGGGCATTTTGTAGGAATAAGGTAAGGGGCTTCTTCAGGTTGGTGCTGGACATGTTTTGCTGACCCTGATCCGTGAAAACTAAACACTAAACCCGAACGAGAAACCTTGGTATACTGAAAGGCATGACTTGACGTTCAACCCTGCACCACGCAACATGCCAGGGTAGATTTTCATGGGCGCCAAACATGCAGGATCATCTACGGGTAGGGTTTCTAGTCCGCTTTGGAGAAGTCCTTCTTCAAGTGTTCTAGGGGGTCTGGCCTGTTTTCGTTTTCGTACCTACTGTAACATTGTCTAGTATCAAAAATCCTCCATCATTCAACTCTCAAACCTAAACCCTAAGCCCTAAACTCTAAGGTTCCACCCAAAAACCCTGAACCCTAAGCCCACCCTCCTACTCTTCCGCCATTCATGGCCTTAGGAAGCTCTCAAAGCACAAAGCCTCAGCGAAAATCGAGGTGATCAGAACTGAGGACTGTCCATAGCACATAAATTTTGGGGCCAGAGCATCGGGTTTATGGGCTAGGGGAGGAGGTTGGCAGGGTGTAAAGATCATAGGGTGTGGGGTTTACATGAGGCTTAGCTTGATTCTTGGACTTGGCCTGTTTCCAGGAAGAGGTTGGGCATTACTTCTTGACTGGAGTAGTGTCATAAATTCGCATATTGTAGTTCCCAGTATAGAATAAGTTCGGTATCCTCCTTTTTGTGATTTCAATTTCCACTGGCACAACCTTCGCAAAAGGACCCCCTGACTTGGGGGTTAAAGGAGTTTACAGTTCTTGGGGTGCGAGGTCCAGTGTCTAAACTCTCAGGGTAAAGGGTTGCACCATGGATAACTTCCTCTACCGCACATATCCTTACATATCCCCAAGTATGGCCCTATCCATCCCCATACAACCTTACAGAAGTTATCTAAACCCTGAGAGGGATCTGTGTGTGGGGCTTTGTGCAGGAGGTTAGCCCGGGCGAGGTTGCCTTCGGCAGGTTTAGGGTTCAGGGTTAAGAAGCGGACAGTTGTATACTGGGGGTTTCAAAGGGGTTACAAAAGGATGCATTCCGCCATTCCCAGGGTTTATGGCTTAGGGTCTTGAGTTCTGGCCAGTTTTGCCTTTGGCTATTTTTGTTTTGGTATTTGGAGATTCGGAGGGTTGATGTATCCAGTTTGGCCCCCCTAAACCCTAAACCCTAAACCCTTGGCCCCAGTCTAGGGCAGGTTCCCACACCGCCATCAGGGCTTTGCTTTCGGGCCCCAGGTTTGATAGGTTTTCAGTCCACTTCTGCTAGAAGTTGTCTAGAGCCTAACCCAAACCCTAAACGGCAAAAAGTCCTGAATCCTAAAACATACACCCTGAATTCCTAACAGCGCTAAGCCACTGCTGCAGCAAGGAAACCAACGAGGAATTTGGACCTTCTTGGAAGTTACCTCAGGTACCGCAGGCAGCCGCTTGCATTTTGGATGAGGGTGGCTAACTCGTAAACTCGTGCATAGGACATTTGTGTCGTCTAAGTCCCTACACAGTACTGTTTGTTGTAAGGCTTGGAGACTATCTGGGGGTTTCCGAAAGTTGGGGGTCCTTATAATCAAGAGTATATTTTTTTGTTGTCGATATTGGCGTCCCCCTGATTCCTGCACGTTATGGGTAAACAAAGCATTTTAATTCTTGGAACAAACTCCAAAAAAACCATGTGCAATCCAAATTTCTGGAAATCCTGACGTGGCATCAGTCTCCAAATTTGAGGGTTTGGGGGTTTGGTGACAGGGTTTAGGGTTTTATGGTCTAGCATATGCGGCCGTATGCAAGTAAAGGGGACCAAAGACTTCTCCAGATCGGCGTAAGCACTTGTGAAATGAGCCGGATTTAGGGTTGAAGGTTTTAGGCTTTTGAGGATTAAGGATTTCTAAGTTTTTTCGGGCCGATTCAGTTTCCTACAACAAGGGCAGAGCAAGATGTGCGCATCTGACTCCATTGAGGCCGTGCGAAGATCCAGTCATCATTTCAAAAGATTGTCATCATGGGCAAGCCCATTGCCACCGAGCATTCCTTGTTTCCCTCCATACTCCACTCTATTTGCTTGAATGAGCGCTAGAAAGCATGCAGCATTCCCCTGTAGCTTTCACCTTTCTCTAAATATGTCTGTTTCTGAAAATGCCTCAGAAACGACTTCTACTCCAAATATGTACCTAGGGTCCCTCAGGTACCCCCCCACATTATGAAGCTCTAAGCCTTCACTTTGTCAAGGATCACCACACCTAACGGCCACAAATGAGAGTAGGGCCACTTCTTGTGAGTCTTTAATGCAGGGATCTACAGATATTCTATAGTTGAATTGGGTGGACTAGCACCTCTCTGGACGCAAAAGGGGGTTTCGAGGATGATCCCTGTGTAACCACCCCCATTGACACGAAAGCACCCCTCACACTCAACATCAGATGTGTTCAGTAGGCGGCTTCTGTGTATACGTACATACCATTTGGGGAGGGGGCGGGTGATTACGTGAGCCCTCATAGGGACACTTGTAATCCCTTATGATGCCTATCTAGCCTTGCGTGGCTTAGGCGTAGCCATATGAGCCATTGTCTAAACTCCTTGTATCCACTTTGATAACCCATATAGTAGTCCCCTATATAACCCCCTATATAACCCCCACTAAGGAGTTTAGACTGTAGCTCATATTTTCCCAAAATACCGGGACCTCAATATAGATCCCTAAATATTATAGTCTGTATTATGGGGACCCCAAAATGCTACCCCTTGTTTTGGGAAACCCCTGTATATGAAAAACTCACCAAGTCATCAGATTCAGCCATCGTTTTTTACCGAAAATCAAGTGCCTGAGAGGTGCAGTCCTCTTTTCTGACAAGAAGCCGGTATCAAGACTATTCTGCTTAGCTGTTAAGGAACTTAATTGTGGAAACCCTAGTATTTACTATTTGGGGAAACTCTAGTCTTTACTATACATATATATATGTATACACAAACTCATTATGGCAACTTAAATTAGATCCCTCAACAGCAGCCCAGTATTTCCTTGTTCTTGTTTTTCTTGGAGGGAGGGGACTGCTCCGAACGGAGCAAGGACGAACGGATCCACCCATTCTTAGCAGCTCTCGCGTCATTGCTGCTGGATGCTGCCACCCTAAAACCTCAACCCATGAAGGCTTTTACCTACCTGGAAATCAGAAGGCACCCCACAAGCTCTAAATCCTAATCTCAAAGCCCGCAATTCTGTGACTGTTCGACTGTTCTGCGGCTTTTCAGCACCTCTTGGCAGGAGTCGAACAACTCACACGATGACGAGGAGGTGCCTGGGTTTGGGGTGTGCATGGGGGTTCCCAAGCAGGATTCGGGGTGGAGGCGACTCAGGGTGCAGGGGGTACAAGGCCTCCTGGGATTTGAGAAGTCTGCGTTGAGGTGTGGGAAGCTTGGGATGTTTAGGTTGTGAGTTTCGGTTAGTGGTCAGTGGGCCGGTTTCAAGGTCAAAGTGAGGGCAATTTGTTCAGACCATCAAATGTTTGTATCCTTCTATAGTGAAGTTGTGCCGGTTCACCAACTTGGACATCTGCACCAAGATCCTGAATCGTAGGGTTTAGGGTTTAGCGTTTCGGTGTAGGGTACTGGAGACTGTGTAATGCACCTGCCCTAGGTCCTGGAAGTCCATTAACCGGCGATTTTTTTGGAAACCGATGCAAAAGTACGTTCCCCCTTTTTTGCCAGGACAGGCGCCTTCTGGGATCCTTTTTCAGGATCCTTGGGCAGGGATTCTTGCTTATCTTCTGGCTACCCAGAATCTCCACCCTGAGCCCTAGATGCCACATTGTTAATGGAAAGTGAGTTGGAATTGCACCAAACCTCTGAGAACGGGGTCGTGATGTTCATTTCTCCTCCTGTTATTTGGGAACCAAGTTTGAGATCCCCTTCTCGCTAGAGGCCGGACACCCAGTAGGTCAGTAGGTATAGGTATAGGGGTAGACCTTCTGGACCGCTGTGCACCCAAATATGTACCACCCCACACTAGACTCAGGGCTAAAGCTTTTGGAATCCTGGAGCCTAAGCCTCGAACCCTGAAAGCTTCGACCCTGAAGCCCAAACCTGAAGGACGATGGCGTTGAAATCTGGATTGGAGATCCAGGGCACACGTTTGAAGTTCCCAAGGAGTTCAAGGCAGCTTGACTTAGCGTTCTCACTGTGTTTGAGGAGTTCAGGGTTTCGCAAGGTGAGGGCGTTAGGGTGTAGGGTTAGGGGTTGGGCTGTTCGCGGTTTGGGGTCTAGGGCGACAGCTGCAATGAAGAGCTTGTTTGAGCGAGGTTTTGCTTAGCTATACAGCCATATGCCAAATGCTACCTTAAGCCGTGGCGTTTCATGACTTGAGGGAGAAAAGCTTCGTATACCGTGACTAAACTCCCAACTGTAAACCCAAGCCCCTAACCTAAAACCCTGAACTCTATACCCTATACCTTGAACTTGAAACCCTTAAGTCCCTTCATCAGTAGCCGGAAGCCCAGCAGTAAGTCCCAAGGCCCGGCGGCAACAGAGACAGGACATGCGCGATGAGCAGCAGCTGGCCTTCAGGAGGATTTTTGAAAAACTGGTAGGAAAAGAAAGCTACATATGTACATATATAGATATTTTTGCATTATATTATATTTTGGGTACGCTCGGTCCTAGGTGGGTCCACCGATGGGTATTGGGGTTGAGAGGTCTAGGCTTGGGTTTTGGGTTAGGGTTTTTAGTTTGGGTGGAGATGCAGTCCTAGAAGGCTCAGTGGGGTTAGCCTATTGGTTTTTTTCGGGTAATTATGGTGTCGAGAACAGCCAGCATGCTAGAGTTCGAGAGATTTGTTCTCTCTGCAATTTTGATTGTTGCATTCACCGCGCTTGGGGTTTACTTTGTCTTAAACAGCAGTTTCCAGAAATCGGAGCCCGTTCTAGACCCCTAAAGCTTATCGTCCTTAGGGTACCCCCTCAAAAGGGACCTCAAGGCTGTGGAAACTTCAGTTCCTTTAAACCATAATACTATCCTAGTTTCCGTCTCATTTTTTCTTATCTTTTTCATATGGTTCTCCGTGGAGAGTACCCCTATTTTTCTGGATGAGGCCCCGAAAAATGATCCACGTGTAGTGTTGCCGTTTACATGGCCCTTGCATGTGCTTCCGCGTGTCCACGGGTTTTTGTGTTTGTTTGACTTCCCGGGATTCCGAATATACCGCAAAACCTTGAAGGTTTTAGGTATTGGAGTTATATAGGGTTTTCTGGGGATAATGGGAAATGAAATGGAAACTGCTATTTAGGGCTTAGGGTTTAGGGTTTAAGGGTTCCGACACCTAAAAACCTGCAATCCCTCAATCCTGAAACGCTCAGGAACTATATCCTCCAAGATTGGCTCAGAAAGCACGGATTCTCACGCCACTTTGCTGCCAGTGTTCTGCTGAAACTCTTCAGGACAACTACTAGATAAGTGCCAGTATTATTGTTATGGATTCCTTGAAAGTGTAGTTATTTAGGCCTCTCGGCCTCTGCCATGCATCATCCCTTTCTAGAACCTCCATATACACTCAGTTTCATCTACCGTTTGGTTTTCTGTTCTTGAGGTAATATTGGCAATAACCCAAACCCAAAGCAGAAAGAAGCCTCTATAGGCGGATTTCTGGTTTGCTAGCAGCTCTTACTGTGAGAGGCTGGGCATGTGAGTAGACAGTGCATCATGAGCACAAAGCTTGTAGATGTTGCTACAACATTAGCTCCTGGCTAGTTGCGTGAGAGCTTGTAGGAAACTTCAAATGGAAACCTGAAGACTTATTAGCAAAGCTGACACTGTACTTCAGTGAAGTATGCCAGGCTCTGGGCTCCTAGGCAATTCCGTGGGTTCTTCTGAACAATTGTGATGAAGAAATCTAAATCCTCAACCCTACGCTCTAAGCCTTGCCCACACCACCTCCGGACGAAAGCATCGGATCACTGGCCCACAAATGCGCAGGACCGTGAAGCGCCAGAGTCCCCCACCAAAATGTAGGGGCCCAAACGGGTACCATCCCGTCTCGGACGTATAGAATAGGATAGACCTCAGGATGATATTGGAAATTTTTCAGGCCCTTACATTGCTGTACTGGTAAAGCGGGCCTTTAGGGTGTTCCGTGAAGGTTTGGCAGAAGGTAAATCTGTGCCAGGAATCTCCTCTTGTCAGCTTGGAATGAAGAAATGACTTGGTAGGGCATTTAGGGCCCAGGGTCTAGGGCATTTAGGGTGGTTGATAAAGCAGTTTCTATGCTTTGAGGGAACCGGGGCATGTAAAGCCGTCAGATTTTAACCTCATCACACACTATTTTTAAATCGGGGCAGTACCCGAGATAGCTCCTTGATGAGTAACCTCTAAACCCTGATTGCCCAGGAGATGTCACTGAGCCTCGCATGCCCAAAGGCCGACGGGTTTTTGGTTTGGGGTAGACCCTAAACCGTAAACCCTAAACCTTAAACCCTAAACCTTCCTGCAAACTGATGCTTTCCGAGACGCTTGCGGGTCGGAAAAAGGAGCTGCAAAAACAAAAAACTTAAACCCGAAACCTTAAACCCTAAACCCTAAACCTTAAACCCGAAACCTTAAACCCTAAACCCTAAACCTTAAACCCTAGACCCTAAACCCTAAACCCGACGGGTTTTGGTTTGGGGTAGACCCTAAACCTTAAACCTTAGACCCTAAACCCTAAATCTTAAACCTTAAACCCTAAACCCTAAACCTTAAGCCTTAGACCCTAAACCCTAAACTTTAAACCCTAGACCCTAAACCCTAAACC